TCTTTTTGACTCTTCTGTCTTTGAATCATTTATTTTATATTCTGTTATTAACAGTGCTACTTTATTTTTAATATTTGCTTTATCTAAATTCTTAAGCATTTCTTTTTCTGTTTTATTTAAGAAAACTACTGTTTATTTATTAGTTTTATCATATTTTTTTTTATTTACTATTTCGGTTTCTTTTTTTAAGTGCCTTCATTTAATACTGCTTTCTTAAATTATTAACTATATTATTGATGCTTTTAGCTTTATTTTGTTTTTGTTTTGCTGAAATCCACCTTCTGTTGCTCTGTTGTTTAATTTTTTTTCTTTTTTCTTATTTAAGCTATTGATTTTTTTTTTTGCTATTGTTTTTTCTCTTTTTATGCAAGTTTCTTGACTTACTAACTGTAATATTAGTAGTTCAAGCATTATTCTTGTCTTTATATTTTGTACTTTTTTTTTACTATCATATGTTATATTTTGCATGCTGTTTTTATTTTCTTTTCATTTTTTGATTAATTAAAACCTTTTCTTTTATTATTATAATTTTTTTTTGGCAATATTTCTGCACACTTCTCTATGTTTATTTACTAAAACTCTTATAATATATATCTATACTGGGTTATTTGCATCTAAGAAGTTTGCTATATCTATATCTATTTTTGCAATATGCTTTTTTTGCTTGTTTAAGCAAACATGCTTTTCTGCTATTATTCTTTAGTTTAGATTATGCAAATTTTTAATTTCTACTATTGTTATTCTTATTATTAGTTGTTTGTTTAACTTAAATCTAACTTTGTTCTAGAATCTTTTAAACTAAGTACTAATCTAATAATTATATATACTTTTGTTTGTAATATCTTATTTAGTAGCCATGTTCTGTATTGATTAAATATTTGAACATGTATTACTTTGTTTGCCTGTTTGTTTACTCTAACTTATATGATTGTTTATTATATAGTTTGTTTATGTATCAATCAATCAGCTTTTCAAGATCACAGCTAGTTTTTAATTTTTTTAAAAACTTACTAAAAATTTTTAAAAGCCTTTTGATATTTTTAATAAGCAGCTTCTTTAAGAAATTGTTTTAGTAAACTTATACTGTTTTTGAGTTTTCTTTTTTTTTTTTGTAGCAAAAAATCTGTTTCTTAGAATAGTTTTTGAATAAACTTTGATGTATTCTTTTTTTATTTTTGTAAAATTGAGATTAGCAAAAGAATTTGTTGACTTAGGATTTTATTGATAATACATTTAGCTAATAGTTGTATTATAATTACAAAAGCAATCATAAAAAGAGTATACAACTAGTTATTTATATAACTTTAGTTATTATCTAATTTAAGTAATCTACCTAAAGGTTCTATTCTAGTTGCTATTACTGAAATCTACTTGTAAGTTTCTTATTTAAATACTTTAGTTTTTGTATTTATTTATTTACTTATACTTATTAATGACCTCAGTTAATAATAATAAAAATATGCTATAGTTACTAAATCTTTAAAACAGTTTATTCATATAAAAAATTTTTGATCTTGTACTAAACCTTTTAGAATCTTCTATATCTTATTCTTATAGCTAACTTAATAATACTAAGACTAAAACTAATACTTACAATCAAGGCATATTATTAAACCACTATGCCTTTGTAGAGTTTACTCTAATTTTAATACTTATTTTATAATAATTTCTACTATTTTGGTTTTCAATTTAAGTTTTACCAAATTTTTAGTCTAAATAGTCTAAAAAAATAGATACAATTATACTTCTAGTTTATATATTTTTTTGATATATATTTTTTTTTTAAAAATAAATCCTAGTAACTTAATTAGTTACAACAATTTTTTTAAAAAAACTATATCTTCTTCTAGTTTTACAAGTTCTAGTTCTGTTTTATAAATCTAGTTTTTATAGTAATATTAAAATTTTAAACTACCTTTTTATTTAAATCTTTTAAATAAACATTTGTTTTTTTAGTTTCTGTAATTATATAATTATAAAAACTTATTTTAAGTTCATATTGCCTGATACTAGTTTGTGTTCTTTTATACAAGATGCAGCTATTGCACAAATATTATATAACTTTTTAGTAATACTGATATGATATAAGTAATAGATATCTAATTTTAACTAATAGCAAAAGACAATTAACTATAATACAAAAAAAATTTTAAATTTTTATTGACACTAGAATTTGAACTCTAAATCTGCTACTTGAAGATTAACAACATAATCACTTTACTATATTATTATGCTCTTGTAATCAATATTAATTAGATTCAACTAAATATTTAATATATATAACTAATAATATAATATATATATTAGATTATAAAAATAATACTATAATATTATTTAATAAAGAAATTAATTTAAGTTTATTCTAAATTTCTTGTAAACTTTATATAGCATATATAATAATGCCAAAAAAAAATGTTATTTTTGAAAATATCACTTTTGAAAATTAAAAATTTTAAAAAAAATTTTAATTTACTTTATCTATTGTTTATATAGAATTATTCAAAGTTGCTAATTTTACTAATTCAATTCACTTTTTTTTTATTATATGAATTTATTAAATGTCAAATTTATTATATTATTAGTTATTAACAAGAAGTCAAGAATTTGTTTAACAAGTATAATCTTAAATATCATTTGAACATAAATTTTAAAACTAAAAAAAAGTAAAACAAGCAACAAACAAATATCTTTATTTGAAAGAAGTGTAACAATCTAATAAAGTGAACAGATTGTCAACCTTTAAATAGCAGAACTAGAGTTCAAATCTCATGAATGATGAATTTTGGAATTTATAACTGTGTTATAGTAACTGACTCTATTAATTAGTTAAATTAACATATCTGTAATCTTCAGTTATACTATCTTAAATAGAAGTTTGAGACATCTATATAATATATAATATTACATCAAAATAAAGAAATATTAATAACTAGTATTGTATAAGACTTTAGTACAAACTTATGATAAGACCATTGAATGCAAAAAAACAAAAGAACTGAATAATTAGAAACCTACTTAAAAATCCTCAATAAGAAGGTAATATAAAACTTTTGATAATACTGTTAGACTGATAAAAACCTATGAAATACCTTTAAAAGAATAAGCAAATAAACCAGATGACAAGATGTGTAAAAAAACATATAACCAACCAAGCTGCCAGAATTATCAGAAAAAAAAATTACTAAAGTATATTATATCAGACTATCTGAATTGAAAGTCTGAGAAGTCTTATCACTTCTGAGTAGTGGTTAGTAAAAAACAATAGAAAAAACATCAGAAAGATGAGTACTGAGGTTTTGAATAAACCTTACAAGAATATAATAGTTTAATAATTAATCTTGACTACAAGTAATAACCTAGATCAAAATAATACCAAATCAACTGTAAGTATAGAATACAGAAGACTCCAATAGATTTTAATACAAATTTAAATATAATTTAATAGTTATGACATATTTTCATCAGTTTACTGAAGTCATTGATAAATACAAAATCAGTGTGTTTAAATAGAAAACCTACAGAAAAATCCTAGATATAGCAACTAGTATAGAACCTTTAAGCAGACTACTTAAATTAAACAATAATTAAAATTGTATGAGTGACTAGTTGTATACTCTTTCTATAATCACCTCTGCATTGTTACATCAACAGATGCTTGCCAATATATACTACCAATAAAATCCCAAATCACATGTACTCACCTTAATGTCTAAAAAATATATATATATATATCTCTATTTGATGAAGACTTATTTAATAAAGACTTAACTGTTCAAAGAAAATTTGATAAGCAAAATATTGAAAAACAAGCAATGTTTGGTGAAATAGAAGCAGATAAACTGTTTAATTACTTGTTTGATAAATCAAAAGAATAAATTGTTAGAGTGATAAGTTAATTTTCGAAATTTCTGAATTTGTTAAAAAAAATAGAAAAATTCTAAACAGTGCCCCATACACTTTGTGCACCTTGTAATAAAATTAAGTATATAATAGAAATTAGGTTAAACAAAGTTAGAATTAGGGTTGGCACGTAATAAAATTGTGAAAAGAATATTTTTCTTAGAGTTAAAGTATAGTAAAATTACAATAGAAATATTTTTGCTTAGTTATACAACAGGGGTTACACTAGTAAAATTTTGTTATTATAGAAAGGGCACAAAGTGCACGGAGCACTGACTAGTTCTTTCCAAAAAAATAAATATCATGTGGTCGGGACCCTAACGTAACACTATCAGGAAGATTCTCATAGCTCAAAAATCAGTATAAGAAACCAGCTTTTGTGCTCTAACAAAAAGTTTCGTTGAAAAATTTTACTATATAAACTACCTTCCTCTATATCTTAACTTTGGCATTAACTCTAACTTTACCGAATTTTAAGAATTTAGTCTTCGCCGCCAACCTTGTACGTACAAATTTACGATATGCGAAAATGTTTACTATTACGTCATGCAACTGTTCTACCTTATCAAATAAGACCTCACCAAGGGGTTTATCAAATAATGTCTGCGCCTTCTTGTAGTTCTTTGTAATGACCTTCGGTCTTGCTGTTAAATGTAGTTATATCTTTTTTGCTGCGGTATTAATTTAAAGAAAAGAAAGTTTCGCAATGCTTTTTGTCCGGATTTTTCCATCGTGCCTTTAGTTATTCAACAAACGCTGGTAGATTTAAGACGTAATAATTGTGTTAGTACGTAGGCCTAAAACATTAACAAAGGATATCATATGACCTAACTACTAACAACTTAAATGGTGTGACAATTTTAAGGACCTCGTGATACCACACGCATGAAGCCTTATAAATTTGATGTTTGGTAGGTGATGTGTGAATATCACTTACAATCATGTCAGCTAATTTACAAGCTCAATGGGCGTGCGAACGATGTACCTACATAAACGACGTAAGTGTTGTGTTGAATGCCCTTAATATGGCTAACAAATTCATTGCTCATTTTTTTATTTTTATTTTTTTTGTCCGTAAGGGTGTGAATCTGACGTGTACAATGTGTTATTTAACAAGAACGGATGCAAAAGATTTACCAGTCCAGGTACTATCATATTTCAAATCGCATTAATTGATACATATAATACATTTAATTTTGGATGACGCGTTTCATAATATTAATAGTGGGAATGGAGAGCCAATCCAGATCAATGGATCCCTTACGATTTGGAATCTTCATCTGAACTAGAAAATGCATATCAAAACAATTTGGCAGTGCTGACTCCCAAACAAGGCTATTTTGCATCAATACCCGATCGATACGAAATTAGGTTTAATTATACCACAAGGCGTTTTCAACAAACAAATATCACAAGCGGTGGTATGAGGAGAATTAGAAGAATCGCGAATGGTAAGTTACTATTATATATACTTATTATGAATGTTAATCAACAACATTCTTGTTTCTAATTAATTTTTGTTGAAAGATGACAACTCTATTCTTCAGCCGGTTCCTTTCGAAGACGTGACACCTGAAGACACTTGTATTATATGTTTAGATTCCTTCGTTGACCCAGATACTACCACATCGGATCAACATATCGTCAAACTGCCTCCATGCCATGGGCACTATTTTCATAGAGTATGTGTGGCCGGTAGGTGCTTTAGTGTTAGCTAATATGTTTCCTATTCAACCATTCATTATTATTAAATTAATTTATTACAATGAACAAATTTTAGCTGCAATTAAGTTGAGGGATGAATGTCCAATGTGTAAAAAAAGGGTCGATTATTAATCGTAAGTTGAATTAGGGTTGCGTTCCAAATCTTTTTAAATTATGACATTACTACATAGGTTGGTTTAGAAATTGGGATTTCTACTTCGTTTGAGATAATAATCAAAATCTAAATATGTCCATTCTCGGCCAATAATGTAAAATTCAAAACCTAATCAATTTGTTAAATCAATGCTATAAATTATTAAAACTTCGTTATTTTTATTTTGAAATTAAGAATTTACGAGGGATTTAGCAACTAAGCAGGATATATTGAATAAAGTAATATATTACATTAGGTCTAATCGTTATGGTTATATCGAATATGCGCACAATCATTATAAAAATGAAAAATTTCAACATCCAGAATAAAATTCGAATCGTAATAAAAAACCTCCTTCGAATTTTCAAACACAAATGCCTAATAATTCTTAGAAATATTAACAGTTTGGTTTATTTTGGCTTCTAAACTCATTTTTAATAGCTTATAATTTTAATATTTAATTAGTGTCAGTATTGCCATTTTCTGTTGATTATAATATTCATGCTAGGTATTGCATTTGTTAAGGCCTTTAGATATGTGTATTTTGATTCGGGAGATTATTGGGGTTTGAATTTCCAAGTTTGGCTTGTTATTTGTATTAGTATAAATTTGTTTAGATAGGGTAAATTGTTATTATTATGCTGATTACTAGTATTATTGTTAGTTTTTTTTTAATCTTTATTAAGATTCTTGTATACAAATATATATATATTAATTTAAGTTAGTGGGTTCATATTCTCTGGCTGATTTTAAAAGTGCTCAGAGGCAGTCTGCTATATCAGTTGAGATTAAACCTGAACCTGAAGGTTATACGTATTAAGCTAACCTAAAAGATTGTAAGAAAATGATTCTAATTTTTTACAAATAAAATTTTTAATTGAGTTAAAGTATGTTTCTTGTATCTTTATATTTTATATTTTTTTTTTGAAATTTTTTTTGTTTCAAAGAATAATATGTAATATAGGTTGTAAATATTTATATAATTAAAGTATAATAAGAGCTTTTTTGTATGTTGTTTAGCAACTAAATCTGCTAGGTTGTTAAGAGCATTATCTGAATAAGCTTGAATTTTATAAAAAGTTATATATAGTTTATATAATTTGATAATATTTAGCAGAGTATGCCATAATGACCAGAAGTTAAGTTTAAAAATTTTATTAAAGTTAAAAGATGTTTGATTAAGTTAAGTAAACTTGAATATTATAAATTAAAAGTTAGTATAAATAGAGTTTTAAATAATGATTATAATAGCAGTTAGAATAAAAAAGAGTTCTGCTTTGTAAGAAAATAACAAAAATTAAACTTTGTCAACAAATTTGTTAAATAATTTGATTATTATAATCTATTTAAACTTAGCTAATATATGATTACTAAACTATTAGTATAGAAATTAAATAAGTTATATAATAGATATTTAATTAAATTTGTTAGTTGTTTTATTTGTTTTAAAAATTATAATTAGAGTAAAGTTAGAAATAAGAATAGTAAACATTAATAGTAATATAAAATTTAATAAAAACTATTTAATTATAGCAGAGATAAAAAGATCTAGATAATTAGCATTTAGTTTAAATAAGTTTAAAACTATTCTACTAAAGAATTAAACTAATATAATAAATTATATATTAGAATTTAGGTTTTATAGCTTAGTAAATAAGCTTTCAAATTCTTTATAAATAAGTTTAATAGTTCAAAACAAGCTAAAAACATTTTGTTACTATAATCTGTTAAAGCTATTAATTAAATACAAAGTTTTGTAATAAAAATCTAAGTGCATATATAAATTTGAAATAAGAAATTTCTAAAAAAAAAATTAATTATAAAGTACAAATATTATATATAATAGTAGTATTACAAATAATTACAATTATAAAAAAATTGTATATATAAATTCTTAAGTTTAAAACAGTATTAATATCTGTATATTTACTAAATAGACAGTACTAACAATTTTATATTCAACTTATGAAATATTTATTTAAAAAAAATAATCAACAAATTGTACAAATAAGTTCTAATTTGAATCTAAGAAACAAGATTTGATTAAAAAATAACTTGAAAATAATTAAAATTAAAATAGTAAAAAAAGCAATAAATATAAAGATAATTTATAATAAAAGATTAACTTAATTAAAATTAGATTTATAAATAGTAAAGCTGTTAATTTTTATAAACTAGATCAACAATTTAAATTAGGCTAAAGGCAAAATCTTAAGATTTTAGCTTTATAATCAAATAAGAAATTAAAATTAAATACAAAACTTTGTGAAAAAGTTCTAAAATAAAATATAAATATAAATTAAAAATTTCTAAAAAGAAATTAATTCTGTAAAAAAAAAGCATTATATATAATAGCAACATTTTAAAAAATTTTATTATATAATAGTATTATATAGATAAGTCTCTAGAAAACCAAATAGTATTAACATCTTTGTATTCAACTTGCAGAACACTTGATTAAAAATGTAATACAAATGTAGCTAAAAGTGTGACGACTTAGTAAAGTGATCAGGTTGTTAACTTTCGAATAGTATATATAAAATTTAAATTCTAGTATTAGTGAAAATTTAAAATTCTTTTTGTATTATAGTTAACTATTTTTTGCTATTGATTAAGATTAGATACCTGTTACTTATATCATATTAGCCTAACTAAAAGATTATATGATATTCATGCAATAGTTGTATCTTGTACAAAGAAATACAATCTAGTATCAGACAGTATAAACTATGATAAATCTCTATAATTATGTAAATTACAGAAACCAGAAAGATGAAAGCTCACTTAGAAAACTCAAGTAAAGAGATATCCCAAACTTTCAATAATACTATTGTAAAAACTAGACCTATAAAACAGAATTAGAACTTGTAAAATTAGGTAAAGAGCTGACCTTTGAGAAGAGGCTAAATGAAATCAGCTAGGTCATTAAAATCTATTTTAGAGAAAAAAATTACATGTTTAAAAACATTAAACCAGAGGTATAATTATAATTTACCTTTCTAGGCTATCTGATCTGAGAGCTTAGTAAAACTTGAATTAAATACCAAGATAGTAGAGATATATTGTAAAGTTAGTACTGAGATTGGAGTGAACTCTACAAGAACATAGTGGTTTAATGATATATCTAATTGCAAATATTGGTCTTAGTCATTATGTTATTAAATCAGCTATAAAAATAAAATACAGAAGATTTCAAAAGGTTTAGTACAAGATCAAAGATTTCTTATTTGAATAAATTGCTTTAAAGACTTAGTAACTATAGTATATTTTTATCAGCATTACTGAAATTATTAGTAGACAGAGATAGGTAGATAGATATAAAAACTGAATATCTAAATAGAGAACTTACAAGTAGGTTTCAGACATAACAGCTAGTATAGAACCTTCAAGCAGACTACTTAAATTAGATAATAACTAAAGTTGTATAAGTGGCTAGTTGTATACTCTTTTTATAATTGCATTCTGTGATTATTATGTAACTATTAACCAAATAAATTTTTATTAAAATTCTGAATCACAAATACTTATTTTAATATTTAAAAATAAATAAATAAATAAATATAACTAAAATTAGAATAGTAAGTAATGCAGAATATATAAAAAAATCTGTAATAAAGAATTAATTTAATCAAAATTAAAATATCTTAAATAGATATTAGTAAAAATACTAAGAAAATATTATCTATAGATGATTATATATTATTTCTTAGTTACTAACACCCAAATCTAGGTGAGCCTTGGCCACTTCAGTTGGTTTAGGTCACAGATAAATTAATCTGAGCTTCTATTCTTTCTATAATATTTTAAAAATAGACTTGTACTTTATGTAAAATCTCAATTAAATATTCAATAAAGATAGAGGCATGGCCTCACCATTAATATTTAAAAAAAAAAATATATTATTTCTTAGTTGATAAGCATTATACTTATATGCAATAAGTCAAAGTTTCAGACCTATTTGTAATACTAAGTTGGTACTATAATATATATAGTTAGTAGTATATTTATAAAAAAATTTATAAAAAATATATACAAATTAAGCTGCAGACCAAACCAACCATAAAAATACAACTAAAAAAAATTTGTAATAAATTGCAAATTAATAATTTAGAACTTGATAAGTCTAATTATATCAACAAAATACTAAAACTATATATACTAAATTGGTAATATCAAGAACATAAAACTGTATAAGAATGTAATAACTTAGTAAAGTAAATCAGTTGTTAACTCTTAAATGATAAGTTGTAAGTGCAAAACCTACTAATACTAAAAATTTAAAAAATCATCTATGTAATATATAGATATTATTATAGTAATATTATTCTGTCAATTAGTTAAAATAAGATATTTAAAGAATTATTACAAATCTATTATACAAAAATTAACAAAAAAACATTCATCTAAAAACACTTATAACTTTTTATTTTACTAATATAATCTGTTTTGGTGTCTTAAGTAAACTTTTTCAGCTTAACAATTTATATATATTTTAAAATTCTTATACATCTAGCTCTTAAACTCACTGAAAAAACTGTACTAATAGTCTTTGGCTTTCAGTTTTAGAAATTTAATTTTTTTTTTTAAATATTAAGGTGAGTACTTGTGACCCAGGATTTTATTGATAGTATATTTGGCTAATGATTGCTTT